TCAGAAGTATAAAAGACTGTAATAAATAAATAAAAGTGAGTCGTCAGCTTATTTGTTATCTTCAAATGCTATTAAAATTGCATTCAAAATATTACCGACCGAAGACCGATTTTTAAACGACTTTTAAAAGGGGAAGTAATATATAAAAAGGACGCAATTTTGTCACCAATTTTTCAATAATTCTCAATAATTCTTTTTGGTATCGATAAAATTTACTCACGTGTTGGTCCCAAAAATATTTTCACAACATAAGTTATGTGGGGGCAAAGGGATTGTTAGCAATGGAGTTTGACAGCCCCATTGTAAGCAATATTAGGTCGACCTCCACGTGGTTCCCCCTGGAAACATCGTGAACAATTCATGTTGAATTCGTCACAATGGGCTAACTGACCTGCTTCAAACTCACCTATCATCTTTCACTGGTGCCCTGCCGGTGTATACAGATAGCGCGGGTGGGGTTACCATTCCATTATCATCCATTAAAAAAAAAAAAACATATGTTACGTGGAACGAAATATGTATTTGCATAGAAATTCTTTATACATAAATTTGTTGATTACCACACGCGGTAAGGACTTTCCAAAATTCCCACAGGGACAGTAGAAATAGTAGGCGCGCGCGAACCCGCGGGCGGAGACCTAGTATATAATATTAGTTTAGTATAGATTACCAATTAGTAAATGGTTCTCAAGCAATCAAGTTTCCCAACTTCCAAACGAAGTTCTAAGTTAAGGTTTTGCTGTTACTTAGTTGAATAGTAGACAATTAAATCAATAACCGTAAACTATTGCAAGAGATTTGCTAATGACTTGTTTGATGACTTTATCAATGATGAGATGATGGCACCTGAATTTCACCTGTTTACCTGCCTCTCCCCCACCCTCCCCCCTAAATACACTTACGATTATTATGACGATTGAAGCTGCCATTGTTCTTAGCGGAGCAAAAAAACATTTGATGCGAAGCAAAATCTATGACAAGCGATACTGCTTTGTAAATTTAATATACTTAATTTTATGTGTTCAAGTAATACGTGATTTATCATTATTTTTAACGAATGATAGTAGAACAGTGATCCCGCTTGCGCTGTCGGTATATGCTGGCGGGGCACCAGTGAAGGATGATAGATGACGACGAAAGCAGGTCAGTTGGCTAATCATCAACATGACAGCTTTCAACAAGAATTGAACACGAAAACCCCATGGAAGTTGATCTGACCTGAATTTACAATGGGGACAAAAGGCCCCATTACTAAAAATTCGCTCCTCCATCTTCTAGACCTCACGCGAAGCTAAGCTGATCTATAAGTAGAAGCAATATTCCATACCAATTCAAAATGGCCGCCCGACGTCAAAATTATAGGCTTACACCATTATATAATTATTAGAACGTGGGAAATTTCTAGATACCGTTTCAACTGTATTATTACAACATTTAAATAAGATATTTGCATTGCATAATAAATCTATGTTATAATTAACATAGTTTGATATTCACTCGAGACATATATACTACGATTGCTGTAACTAATTTTGTGGTTAACCCTCATACGCACAATCTCAAATTTAATGTATCTATTTGACATTTATATACGGGATTCATAGGATTTACATTTGTAAAGTAAAAAGAAAGGGAACTTTTAACACTTCTGATGATCCTCGCCCCTACACACGCGCTCGGCGAAGCTGTCAAGGTCATTGCCAATAACAATTAGAGTTCGAAAAAAAATTTATAGGATTATGTTTTTTTCTTTTTAAGTGTATTACATACATTTTCAAATATTTTTTATGGTAGCGGAATTAAACGAAATAACTCTAATCTATATATTAGAGAATGCTGATCGACTGACTTCTTGACCCCATATTCTGTCGGAATCTGGAATCTTGAAATTTTGCAAATAGCTTCTTCACATATGGTAGGTGAACAAAAAGCAAGGAATTCTGGAAAATCGTCGTAAAATGGGACTTAAAAGTTTATATGGAATTCCGTTAGTTTAAAAGTTAGACACGTAAAAGTTTAGATTTAGGCTCATGGTTTAAAACAAAATCACAAGCGAGCGAAGTCGCGGGCAAAGGCTAGTCTAATATTATAAAGGGAAAAGGTTAGATTTTCTTAATGTATAAGTTAAAAAAAAACACTAAATGATTTTAAAAATTCTCTCACTTTTACAAAGCTACTTTATCAGTGAATAACAAGTCCTGTGTTTCATTTATTTTTGCCTATGTACCTATAATGCATTTTATGCAAATGACTCAGAACCTTTATTTATGGTAGTCTATGGGGGAGGCCTATGTTCAGCAGTGGACGGATAATGTCCACTGCTGAACATAGGCCTCCAATGGCATAGGCAATACAATAGTGGTTGAAATGATGATATACCTAAGAGAGGGCCAAGGCGGCTCTCTAGTTTAATGATAAATACCAGAGTATTTTCAAAAACACGAGATCTTTTTTCGTCAATATTATCCTTAACTGTCGTTTAGACGGGAACCACTTAGGGTCAAGAGCTGATTAGGTGAGGGCCGGCCCTTGAACGTAGTTTAAGGTCACATTAATTTAATTTCACTTAAACCTAATTTTAAGATCTAGATTAAAGTTGGTATGGCAACAACACTCCATCCTCATGACTGCGAGATTTTTTTAATACATTATAATGGAATAGCAGCCCGGATACGCTATTTGTATACGGGTACCACTGAGTGATGATAGGCAAGGATGAAAGGTTATTTAATGATGATGGAATGGTAACCCTGTCTGCGTTAACGGTATACGCTGGCGGGGCACCAGTGAGAGTTTATAAATAAGTAAGAATGAAAAGGCAGGTCAATTAGCCCATTGTAAAAAATGCACCTAGAATTCAGCACGATGGTATCATGGTTAATTGTTGTCGAATTCATCATGATGAGCCAACTGACCTGTTTTCATCCTTGTCTATCATCTTCCACTGGTGTCTCGCCGGTGCATACCGATAGCACAGGCGGGATGTGGTCATCATTCCATTTTTACCCATTAAAAAAAAAACAGATGTATATTGAATAACTGGGATATAAAGTTATTGGTTTACAAAAAAATTGAGACTTCTCTCTTGACAAAATTAATATTGAACAGAAAACTCAATATTTCTATTTCAAAACGAATAAAACTCACCTACAAATACCGAGAGATAAAAGTCAATTTAAATATTCAATCTTATTGCTATTACATAAGATACATTATTGATAATTACAGTCGTAGTGTACAGGTAATATGGGTATTGTACAAAACAAACAAACAAACAAACAGTAAATAATGACACAAGTTGTACAACAAAATGTGTGTATTAAGAATAAGGAGGGCTGAAACAAATTGAGGTGATTATAAAATGTTAAGAACAGTTTGAAACATAGTTGTGGTTCCGTATTATTATTTTTATATTATTATTTTTTACGTATATCTGTTGTTATTTGTGTGCTATAAGTAATGCAAATAAATTATACATCTATCTATATAAAATCACACACACACACAGATTACTTTGAATATCAACAAACAATTTCTAATCATCAGATCAACATTAACTGTCCACTGCTAAACATAGGCCTCTTTTATAAAAGGTGGTTTTGCCAGTAGTTGCCACACTTGACAGGAGGATTGGTAACTACAGTCAGACTTTGGCGATGTTTTAAGAAGGACAAGTACTGGTCATCCTTCGCCCCCGTTTAATCGTCTCTTACAACACCTACGGAAAAGGAAAGGTGGCCTATTCTATATTGGGATCAAACGGCAAATTATAATATTTCTATATACCTATTTAAAAAATGCACAGCATCCACGTGACCAGAATACGTTGATTAAGTGGGATAAAAGACAGCCTATGCATTTCCTCATTTTATATTATACACGTATACAAAATTTCGTGACAATTGGTTAAGTTATTAAAGCACTAAGAGGTAACAAACAAATTAACTCGCTTTCACATCTTATTAATATAATAAATGCGAAAGTCTGTAACCAAGTATAGATGGCCGGATGCGTAAAAGAGTAATTCACGTAAAAACTACTGAACGAATTAGAATTAAATTTAGTACACAGGTAGGTTATATCTGAAATTCCTAACAAATAGGATATTTTATGTACCGACTCACGAGGGCGAAGTCAGAAGGAAAAACTAGTATTTATTAAAAAGAGGTTATCGCGATTATTAGTATGTAATATGAAATATATTTTATTAAAAAAAATATATTAACAAATAGCGATTCGGTTGAAGTTAAGCTACATAATATTACTAAAAAATTTAATAGATTTATCACTATACAAGTAGGAACCCTAAAATCAAAGACGCGCGTACTCCGCACCTGCGCCTGCACACAAAGATACTATTTAACGTAAAGCTTCATAGGTGGAAACGAGATAGCAAATATAAAATAAATACCATCCGTAGATATTGTTGACCTTAAAATTATGACGATAAATATAGGACATTAAAAGAGACATTGACAAATTTAGAAACGATTTTAACCGACTGTCAAAGAAAGGAGGATAATGTTCTTCGAAATATATTTGTACTGGCCGCGACTTGGACGTGATTATTAAATGACGTGATTATAAAATGTAATATCTCCTTCTCCATCTTCAGACGAGCTGCTAAGACGCCAAGGAAAGTAACAAACAACTTTATTTATTATTTATTTATATAAATGTTTTTAGTTTGTTAAAGTACTTCTGTAAAAGTAGTTTTACAATCGGTTTTTGGTTAAATCAAGATTTGAAATATGAAATCTTCAGGACGAGGAAATTATATTAATAAAAAAAATTAGATTCTTTGTTATTAAAACAGATAATGAATAAAAAAATAATGAAATTCAGTTCAACTTAGTAATTTATAATTATAGCTTCATTCATAAATTGAATTGTGGAAAAAAAACAAGGTAAAATGAAACAATACAACTTCTATGAAACATTTTTAAATGGGCCAATAACGACAAATTAAACGAAACACATTATAAAAAGTATTTATTCATTTGTTTTATTGCACCATTTATACAGTAAATTTTAATAAAAAGTATTACAAAAGGCAATACAATAAAATAAATTTTAAAAAGTTTGGGATTGTAATTTGAAAATAATTTTATAAAGCCGTAAGTATCAAACATCGATAGAATATGTATCATATATTCATAGAATAGAATTCATAATTACGTTTAACTGTAATATCAAGAGATCAGTCTGATACTTGTCAACAGTAAATAATATGAAGAATGCAAAGCAACATGAACTCAAAAATTTAAGCAAAAAAAAAACAGAATTTGTATGATATGGCGTATGTCTTCCGTTTCTCTTACATTCCGGAATAGCCATAAGTAATAGGTAGAAAAAGGTGTCATACAAATACAGCAATTTTTCATTCCGCCTTCATTTAATTGTGTCATCGAATCACAGAAAAGGAACGTTTTAAGGACAAATTTATTATCAAATCTTTGTTCACATTGTAATTTCCAGTCGGTATTTTAACTTCTTAAGCCTCAATTCCATGCTTATATAAACAAAATAGACAAAATGTTCCATGTCGTATAAACTGCAAAAAAATATTGTAAGTGCTTACTCCTCAGCGCTGAATATTGGCAACACTGTGTCTACATAGGCCGGTTTAGTTAAACTATTCGTCATATACAAATCCCAATATTTATCCAACTCTTTATCTTGATCCATTATTTTCTTATATTCTTTAAAAATGAAATTAAATATATCATTTATCTTCGCCTTTTCTACTATGGGTAACGTGCTCGTGACGTATTTGACCAAATGCATATTCGAATCCTCTTTTAATTTGGGCATACTAGTTGACAACATTTCGGCCAAATAAAACGCCGGTGTTAACAGCTCCAAGTGTTTTGGTAATCTCAAAATTTTATGTCCGTAAGCTTTGAACAAGTTATCAATTTTATACACATTCGCTTTTGTATCTGTGTACTGTTTGACTAAACACATAAGCTCATATTTAGACATATCTATGTGGTATGGAACATCGTGTTTTTCTAACCAATCTATGATCTCTATTCGCAGACTGTTCAGTGTCGGTGGTTCAGTATATTTCTTATTGTGGTGTGCTCTATCTGATACCACTATAACAGCAGGGATCAGTATACTTGGTAATAGATTACTCACCATCCAATTCTCGAACGTTCTCTCATTGAAGTCATCTATTTTCTCTACAAATTTCGGTCCGTACAACACCGTGATAGCGCATATGAATTTCACAACCATATTAGCAGTCTCAGTATCATCGGAATAAACATTCATTTTGCCATTTTTATCAATATAATACTCGGTTACAAAGTAAATAGGCGAATTCGTATTGTTGGCATCAGTTACATTAGTTAAATAGTGGTACCTCTCATACGTGACTTGCGGTCTTTCTATGACAATGAGCAAGTCTTCTCGAATCTTCTTCCATACGTAGTCCATCTGTATTAACATTTTTCTGAAGCTACCCACATCTATATAGATCGGTAGTCTGTTTTGAAATTCTGTATATAAATCCTCGGTGGTAGGAAAATTATCGTTCGATTTACAAAAATTTATATGCGTATTGTATATCAATGAGCGATCAACTTCAATTAATTTGGTAACAGTCAATGTTTTAATCAATTGCAGAGAATTAACAGGAATACCGGTTAGTATGGAAGCGCGATATACTCCCTTATATATCAGGTCCTCTTTATTCTTCACTGCATGTACAACGTTTTGAAGCAGTCTGAGCGTTTCAGGGAATTGTTTCAAGTCTAATTCCATTATAGGTAACACAATAAAAGGACAATTTACTAATTTTTTTAAAGAACACTCTGGAAAAATGCAAACGAAATAAGTTTTCAGCTCAAACAACAATCGTTGACTGCGGACGCCGCGGACGGGCGACGGGATGCGGGCGGGGGCTACCGTGAGAGTGAGAGAAACAAAAATATAGATACCCCCCGCCCGCTTCTTCGAACCCCGCCAGCTTACCACTACTATAATTATTATTCGCACGTATGAATAATGTGCGATATTTGACAAGCAGTGTAAAGATTGTTCTTTGAAATAATAATCATTATTTTAGTCATTTAAATCTACAATCATGAGCGTGTACCGTGAGTATAAAAACTAAAATATATATGTATAAGAATTCAACTAAAATATTAGTTACTTATTTGAAGTTCATAATTCTAAATATTCATTGAACTGATGGTAGCCTAAATTTATCATTGTAATTATAATAATACTCAAGGATAAGTTTATATAAAATGGTACATGTATATAAATATTTAATGTTAAATGATGTATGTACAAATATATTAATGACTAAATAGATATATACTTAAATACTTAATTTCAAAAGTAACTGTATAAAAATCAAATAAGTAATGATAATTTTCAATAAATAATAAATTTAACATGGTAATAATATTTTAATCGAACGTCAATAACCGCGCACTAATTTAGCGAGCAACTTATAGTAGGTATCACGAAAGCAACGCGTGTAGGCAACGCGGTCGTAGATTCCCCGCTCCCCACTCTCCGCGACTGCTGACGTCACCCCGTCCCGCGCAGTTCATCGGATGTTGCATGTAAAATCAGTCGTTTTTAAAGCTAGATTTTATAAAAGTAGGAAAATTTTTAAATTATAATTTAACGGTAAGTACGATTGTTTATATTAAAATATTTTATTTTGTTAGTGTATTGCAATGTTTCTTTTTTGTAGTTTTCATAACATATTGTTATATACAATGTTCTATACATTAGTTGGTAATTAAATAAACTATTCTACATGCTCGAGGGTTATTTATTTATTTATAAATTAATATTTATTAAAAAAAATTATAATACACAACAGTTATATAATTAACTAATAATTTGTTGAAATTTCAGTGCCATAAATTGAAGATGGTTGACATTAAATTACAAGATATACAGAAAAAAATTTGCATAATACAGCGTATCATAGAAAAATGCGAAAATGGTGGAGTTGATGATCAACCAGCAAGCTCGCGATCTGACAGTTCATCTTCGATAGCACTTTATTACAAGGCAGCTCAATACACAGGGGAAAGCGTCAGTATATTAAAAAATGCCAATTCTTTTCCCAGATACAAAGACATTTGCGATAAAATTAAAGAGAATGAGACGAAACGTACATCAGCAATCAATTGCAGCATAATACACCAACTTATGGTCGAGTACTACATAACAAAGCGAATACCTATACAAAAGAGGCACGTGCCAGAACAGTTTGGCAATTCTGATGATCTCAAGAAGATTGGCTACAAATGGCACGATATACCAGGGACGGATAAGTGTATATTCATAGAAGACCCCGAGCAACAAGCAAAGAGGATGTATTACTTGATAAACATGAAAAAGTTCAGGGAAGAGAATAGACCAATAATTTACGTAACCCACAAAGTGTTAGAAGAGTCTGCTTTCAATAATAAAGACAGAGTCCAACACCATGTTCTGATTGCTGCTTCACTGCTGATAGGAATAATTGATTGCAGTGTGGTGTCGGTAGCGAATCTTAATATAGCGGAATGGATTCAATCAATGGTTGTACCGCATTTAACTGAATCTTACGTGCTCGTTATTGGATCTGAGTTCCAGAAGGTTGATGCTGCTTACTTAGCGGTACCAAAGCCTGGAGATAACACCGCCACAATGAAATCATGGTTGGAGAAGAACAGAATAAGCTTTAACTCATCAATGTGCAGGGCAGAATTATACGAACTTATAGAAAGACACAATCATGCGGTGTTCCCAAGTGAAGACATATATAAACAAGATGAAATTCTGAAAGCGAACGGTGTAGAAGTGTTGCGTAGACCCAATTGGGATAAGCTGGACTACTTTCAATTTTTTTGGAAGGATTTTATAAAATACAGAACTACCTTCCATAAATGTAATTTTGAAAAAGGCATTAAAGAGTTTATCAAATCGTACAAACTGGATGTATGGCAGCAATTCAATCAAATCGTAGCGCAGATAGAACAGTCAATTTATGAAGAAGATATGCTTCTGGAGGAGGTTATAGACAAATTGTTATCGCAAGCTATATACCACAAGTTGGATAGCGATTTGGAGTTTTCATCGCGAGCTGAAGTTAAGACTTTTGATCCTTACGAGTATGATTTTATAATGTAAAGTAAATTTGTTTTACTTTTGTAATATTTGATATTAAAAAACACATTAAAGTAGATCAGATTTTTTTATTTAAATATCTCCTAGAGTATAAGCCCAACTTTGATATTAATCCTCTCTGAGTACTTTGTAATGGACTTGCATGAAGAAATGTATGTGTATTGAAATGTACATACAAAAACTACGGTGAAATTAAGAACCTCTATTTTTAAATAAATTGAAAACTAGACTTCATGCAAAGACTTAAATGCTGCGTTTCGGATTGAACGATAAGATATAGCAGTTAATTTATTGGATATTGTGACTTTAGATCATCACGTCATATAAAATTATAATGCGGGAGTGATGGCTCTGGTCTCGCAAGCAGCTCTCTCTGCTTATGCGGATATGTGTTTGATTGTATAAAAAAAATATATATTGTAAAGGACCGTATACACACTAAAGAAGAAACGCATACAGGAACATTGTTAGATGATAATAACAACAAAAAATGTAAGAAGAAAGCTTAGAAAAATGGACCTATAGAATGAGATGTTAGGATCAAGTTGAGTTACCAATCTTCCTGTTTTCCCAGGACATGTTCTAGTTTTTAGTGTCCTGATGTGTAGTCCTAGAAGCAGCTTCCTGAGTTTATAAAGGGGCATCATAAGAATGTTATATCGAATATTTATCGATAGAATATTTTTCGAAAAATTTTGAATACATTTACATATAAAAATAATGATTATTATTACCTAAATTCAATTTCACATATTTTCAGTACATATTACTCAATTATTGCCTCTGATTTTTAAACAAAATTGTTATATTTATTTCAACTTCTAATCGTTTTTTTTTAATATAGGGATGGCAATCCCAATTGTAAAAATAATTACAATACCAATTAATTATTGTGAAAATTGAATATCCTTTTTTCCTTTACGATTCCTTAAGAGAAATACCATCCTACGTGTAATGGAATTAGCGCTTTATTGTTCACAGGTTAAATGTCAGTATATGTTAGCTACACTGCGATTAGCCGAGGTGTCGGTACCTTGGATTTTCTCATTACAAACTACAATTGAAATTACTGTTAGCCTTTACTGTGCTTTAAAGGAGTATAGGATTTGTGTCTTATTCGTTAGGTACATTTTTCCTTGGATCAAATATTAGATGTTATTCTGTAGAGTCGGGAATCTTCCTAGTTGGATACCAGCTTTTTAATTAACCTAGTGAAACGATGCCATATCGATTCCGAGTTACAATTCATGTATACGGATTAACTTTAGTTACATTAATTATATAAATGTAATATATAAGTATATATTAATAAATAATTCTTTATTAAGGTTACCAGAACCTACATTTTTATATTTTACAATTATATGTAGTTGGTTTTTTCGGTATGCAATGCAACAATCATTCATGTAGAAAGAACCAAGCATATTTGCTAACATGGCCATAAATATTATATATATCGATATATATATATCGCATGGCTGTGTTTCGGTTTGAAGGGTGGGATATGGCGTGAATTTACAGGGTACAGAGGAATGACACCTGAGTCCTCAGGAATGGCTTGTATCATGGACGAAACAGTATACTCTGTTATGTCCATGGTACTGCTCATGTCTATAGGCGACGGTTACCACTTTCCATCAGGTGGGCCGTCAGCTTGTTTGCCATTCTAAGTTGTATAAAAAAAATATAATGTCTTACGTTTTTATTTTAAATTTTGTTAATTATACAATATCATCATACCTACTTGTACAACAATTAGTCCGTTACCCTAAGGTTGTTTTGAAAAGATTGCTCTCAGCAATATGACCACCTTACTGTACTTATACAACTGTATCGTTACATTCATTAATTATCTTGCTTGTTTCCAATATTGTATAATGCAAATAAAGTATACATACTTATTCATTCATTCATTTTATATATTGGGATAGATAGACTTATATAGATATAGATAGACTTCTTTCGGTCTAAATATAATAATGTAAGCTGGGAGGGGGGGGGGGGAGATTGTTAATAATGCGGACTACCAGTCTCATTGCTAGCAATATTCCTTCTCAGGTCAACCTCCACGTGGTCCCCTCTGGAAACCATCGTGCTGAACTCCAGGTATATTCATCACGGTGGGTTAACTAATCTATAATCCCTCACTGGTGCCTCGCCAGCGTATACCGTCAGCGAAGGTGGGGTTATCATTCCATTATCATGCATTAAAAAAAATTTCAACTACCCGCAAGTTTAAGACGCAGAATTAACTCTCCTCATGTTGCAAGTATTCATGGGAGACGATAACAATTTTCCAACAAGTTGACCGTCTACTCATTTGCCTTAATAACAATAAAAAAAAGAAGTTCGTGTATTCACTCACTTTATAATGTTACTGTTTCCCGCGATTTCTACCGTGTGCTTAAGCGCATTACATACCTACCCTTTGTCTTTTCTCTCAATGTCCTCTACCCAAAGGTTATCTAGAAGAGACTGCTTAGCGATAAGGCCGCTTTTTGTATCACTTCTCATTACAATTTACTGTATTTATTATTTTTATTTGATGCAATAAAGTGTAAATAAGTAAATAAATATAAAGTATTCTATGCTGAGCTACGAGTAGGATATAAAATACCCGTGTACCAAATCTCATTCAAATCAGTTTAGTAGTTCGGGCGTGATTGCGTAACAAACATTTAAACTTCGAAACAAACTTTTATATTTACAATACTAGTAGAAGTGTAATTTTGTAACTAACTAAATCTTTGGGCTTTTCTCGCTTTAAATTATTAAAGATTTAGATTAAAAAATTAATTTAGAATAAAACAAACATAAGCATTACTAAAACTGGCAACACTACATATGAAGTTTGTTAATCAATCAATAAGTATAATATCATTTTGTTGTTGGCAATAAACGTTTCCCTTTTTTTTTTATTGTTGTGGCACCACATTTGTGATATTAAACAAAATAAATCTTGGTTAGCTCGCGACTTATTAAGCGCCGGAAAGATATATCGTTGTTTTTTTTCGGATGCTTTTAACCATTTGTTCAATAGGACTAACGATTTTGAATACCATTTAGAAATATTGTTAACATTTTTCAATAATAATAATAATAATAAATTTATTTGCTTTAAATAGAGTAGGTATCGATGGTCTTATGTTAAAAACAGTTTTTAAGCCTATTTAGCTATGACAGAATACCATGTAAATGTTACATTTTGATAGGAACTGATTAATTCATGCATCAACAACACAAACACTAGACGTTTTTCTATACTTCTTAAAAAATTCATCTATCGAGTAAAAACTTTTGTTAGAAGTTCCTTTATATCCATAGGAAGATTTTTAGACATAACATATTTTCTGGTGGATGGGGTGTGGGGGGGAGAGGGATTGTTAGTAATGAGGATTAGTAGCTCCATTGCTAGCAATATATTCTGTCAAGTCGACTTCCTTGTGGTCCCCCCTGGAAACCATCGTGATTGATTTATTGTTACGTGAGTTATTTTCACGGTGGGCTAATTGACTTGCTTCATACTCACCTATCATCCTTCACTGGTGCCCCGCCAGTGTATACCGATAGTGCGGGAGGGGTTATCATTCCATTAAAAAAAATATCCTCTGGTAATGGATAAGTAGTACTGGTAGTGGATAAGTAATAAATAAATTTGACTAAATTGACCAAAGCTACATAATAAAAGGCAATAAATGCAATAACAATTTCATAGAGAGGTGACATTTTTAAATAAATAAAATTTTATTACAAAAGATTTTGTAATTTAGTTCAGAAATTATTTTAGAAACTTGCCTAAATAAGATAGATTAAAATTCCTACGGGAGTACTAAGTCCAGGGGTGGAAATACAAAGGAAGTTACCAAGAATGAATAGTTTACAGATGTCGCTAATGGAAAACTGACATAGATATGGCGTGATATATATATATATATATATATATATATATATATATATATATATATATATATATATATATATATATATATATATTGCCTTGCAACAAAGTGATCGTAAACATACACCGTTTAACTACAAACAAGTTAAACTTGCGATAGACAGCTGTTCCATAGATGTTTAGACGTACTTCTACAAAAGCGTGTCTAATATTTGTTTATGTCTAAACCTTATAAAGTAATAAATTTTATTGTAATAATCTATAGAATTTAGCATTTTAAATTACGAATAAAAACTTTTCAAACAATGTTTAATTACTTAAGAGTTTTGTTAAACTCTGCTTAGGTAAACAGTAGTTTAAATATTTTTTTTTAGTAAGATCAATAACAGCATTACTATATTTATTATACTTAATTAAACTTTACTAATATTATAATTATAAAAGTAAGTTTGTTTGTTGATCATTCAACTTGATCGTTCAAGCAGACGAAGTTGCGAGCAAAAGTTGTACTTAAATAAATAAATGCTGTACAACGTTATTACACAATTTCATAGTAATTCCATTCCGTTTAAACCCACAATGTATCCCCATGGGGTCTCGTCGCAAAATTTACTTACGAACTAACCTGACCCGCTGTAACACACTTAGCGTTAACTTGCGTAAACTTATGTAATGCGCTTAAATGCTTATTCCAATGTGACACGTCTTTAAAATAACCGTGGTTGTCAAAATCATAGACACAAATTAAGATAGATGACGCAACTACTATAATTTATATGAAACCAGCTTTTACTAGAAGGAGACTTTGTAAAAAAAATTCTGTTTCACACGTGTTATTGCCGCAAAGCAGTTGAGTTTGCAAGACTGTGTTTCAGTTTGAACGCCAATAGATGAAAATGAAATGGTAATCCCGCCAGTGCTATCGGCATACACCAGCGGGGCACCAGTGAAGGATGGCAGATGAGGATGAAGCAGGTCAGTTTGTCCATCGTGATGAATTCATCTAAAATTAACCAAGACGGTTTCCAGGGAGAACCACGTGGAAGAAGACCTGTTAGGGTCATATAGTCAGTAATAAGCTTGTTAGATCTCATACCAACCGTCCCTTTCTCCCCAGTCTGAAGGGTGGGATATAGCAATGAAATTACAGAATACAGA